GAAAAGCATTGGGCATATTCTGCTGCATACACACTTCCTGCCACTGCTGAATGCTGCCAGGGAGCTGGGAAAGGCATTGAGCTGAATCTCAACTCCCAAGCTGCAAAGAAAGCCATTGGACTTTGGGGTAAAACCCACTTTAGAGTGACGTTTGCTTCCAAGCTGGGCTCCAGTGAGGGGCAGAGCCGCTGCGGACATCTCTGCGCTGGGTCTTTGCACAAGAGCAGACTGCTTCCTCCTGTCCAGGCATTTTAGGTGTTCATTGCCATCTGAGGGGATGTGGGTGACACTGTGGGAGCTTCCACAACCCTCCCTCAGTGTCACCCTGTGTCAGTCCATCTGCCCCTGTGACCAAGTAACTCTGTTATTTGACTGAAGGCTCTGCTGCCCACCCCAGGAGAACATTGCTGCAGTGCTGGGGTTCTGGTGCTCTAAGCCCATCCTTCTCTCCCTGTGTGCGGTTCAGGTGATGAACCAAGAGAAGTGCACTGGCCACAGCAAGCAGAGCTCTAATACCTCAAACATCTGCACTTGAAAGTGTCTGGGTTCCGGGTCTAGCAGCCTAATGCACAGTTCTGCTTGAATACATGGGGTTGGAAGGTGCAGCCTCGGTCCTGGGCTGGGCAGAGAGCCTGTCTATGCTGTCTTCAAGTGGGTTTGGGTCTGTAGCTTCACACAGTGTGGTTTTAATTCAGGACAAAGTCTGCTCGCAACTGGAAGCTCCTCGCATCCAAAGCAGCTTGAGCTTGCTGCACACTACCCTGTAGCTCTTCCCTTGCCAATGGCTGCTGAGGAAAGCTTTGTGGGCATGTTCCGGGAGCGTGGCAGCAGTGACAGACCAGATTTGTGCTTGTTGAAGCCTTGCTGGTCTCAGAATTAAATGGAGACTCCAGGTTTTGAAATGAAGGCAAACTGGTAACAGCAGAACAGCTTCTGACAAAGCCTCCTAAGGGTGTGGGCAAAGGGGGTGAGAGCTCTGTATTCCCAGTGTCCTCAGTGTCCTTTGGCCTGAAACCCCTCTGCTCCTCTGGGCAGCCTGCTGCTGGGGCCTGGCATTGGCTCCGAGAGGCAGATGGACAATAGGAAGAGGCAAAATCAGGCGATGCTTTCCCTATTGTTTCAGTTGTTATTAGCTTGCTTTCACGTATGGAACCATCGGACATCCCCAGCAGGCTTGGGACCTGTTGCCCTTTGGTTTTAGGGTCCCATAGAAGTTAGAGTCCCCAAACACGGGCGTCTCTAGCGTAGTCTCCTCCGTTAGTGGAAATTTCCTATTCCAAAAGCAGGCCATATGCTGGAGTGGGATGAGCTGATAAGCTTCTGCCATGGCACAGCAGGGACGCGTGCGAGCGTGGCTGCCGCGACGTCGGAGCGATCCTGGGGTATTTTTAATTAGCACTTTCCTCCAGGAAATCAGCGCACTCAGAGCAATGCAAAAGCTCAAGCCTCCTGTCCCAGCCTTGCTTTGGAGCTGCCTGCACAAGTGTCTGCAGACGCTGACATGCAGATGGCAGCGCTGAAGAGTGCGATGGTGCTAATTTCCCTTGTGCGGCATTACCCAGAGACATCAAGCTGTCAGCGTTCAGATGACATAAGAAGGGAAACGCTAGAGATTTTGTTTGGCTTCTCTGTGACCGGCTTTGTTCCCTGTTGTGGTGGGGTTTTTGCCCCCTCAGCGCTGGCCAAAACGTGAGGTATGCTTTCTGATGAGAAATCAATAGAGTGCAGGCTCGCTTTAAGCTTGTTTCATGTGTGCAAGATGACAGGAGACACCGCAGGCAGCAAAGCACCTCAAGTGCTCCCCTGGCTGAGAGCTGCTTGGAAATGCTGATGCTCTTTCAGGGAGCGGCACAGTTGATCTTCCTGATGGGAAGAGGGAATGTTGGCTGGTGCATCAGCCACTTGGAGCTCATGTCACAGGAGGTGTTCAAGGCAGACATCCTGCTTTTCTCTCATCATTCCTGTATAGCGCATACATGGAAGAGCGCATCCCTCAGTCCTCTGAATGCTGGATCTGCACAGATTTGGAATAACCTGTTCTCTTCGCAGGCTTTTTATGGGTGCTTGGCTAGAGGCGATATCCACATTGTGTGCTAGAGCAAGAGGAAAGCTAATCGTGCAGGACGCCAGAAACACTGGCACAGAGAAGGATCCTTGCTTGAAGTATGAGATGATCGAGTATGTGTGCTGGAAGAGCTGAATCTATTCATAGACTTGCAAATGTCTGTTGGAAGGGGCAGAAGTGATGCATGGCTGCAGGAACAGGCACAGCTCAGCTCTCTCTTCTGATCTTGGAACTGAAGAGTCTCTTTCAGACTTACACAGCTGGGGCTTTGCCTCCGATCAAGGCAGTGGTGCCGTTCCCTCACTGTCCCTTGACTGCTGCATTTACAGTGCGAGCTCTCTGAACCTACAGGTCGCTGGGCTCTTAGTTTCTTGCACAATAGGCACCCACAGTTACACTACACTGGCCCATAGACACTCCCTTAATCCAAATAGCAGCACACAAAGGCTGTTTACTTGGGACACGCACTGTTCCTTGGGGTATGCCTTCAGAAACCACACAATATGTAATAATGACCTCTCATGACAAAGTAATTGGGTGATTTATAATAAATGATCATCTGTCTTGACTTGAACAAGCGTGCCAGCTCTTGCATGCCAGAGAGAAGAGCAGAAAATAAAAGCCAGCTTAGTGATTTCTGTCTCTTACCATAGGACTCTTCCTCAGATTCAAACCCAGGGACTGCAGGTTCTGTCCTAGGAGAGGTGACCCGTCTGTCATCTAGCTTGAAGTGGATGAACTGCATTCCAGGCTGTGTAAGAAGAGTGTCTTTCAAGTTGAACCTCCCTTGGTAATCAGCCTATCAGTTTGTACTGATAGAGATCACATATGGTATTTCATTATGGACTGATGCTTGCCCTGGTCCTTGCAGCATGCTGTCTACTTGGCAGCTGCTATGCATCCTGGAGCTGGCTGCAGTTCAGTGGTAAAAGAATTCTTAACTGTTTGTCATTGTAAAGCACTTTGGGGTGAATGGTGTTGCATAAATGTTAGGTTATGATTAGGTATTAATCTGTTCTGGAATAATTCAGAGTTTTTAAATGTGCCTTTTCTAGTAAGTCTTATTTAATATGGAGGGGGATTGATTTATCACTGTCTTGCTATGACTTTCTCCTACCCCTCCAGCTAGCATTGTGCATTGCAGATTATGCATAGCAGGAAAGGAAATGGTTGACTGTCGATGGCAGCGTGATTACACAGGTCCCTGGGATTTAAAAATCAAACCAAAGCTCCTTATCCTCCAGTGGCTTTTGGAATTCGACTTCCAAATGTTTCCTCCAAACAAGTCCGTGACCCTGAGCCTACAAGTCTGTGTTACACAACATCTTCTAGCTGCTGGGAGCAGCCCTGGCTCCGTGTGTGACCGACCTGCGCCCTGTGGCAGACGTGATGCTGCGGGTGTTCCGACTGGCTGCATCCATCTCGGCTGTGCTGCTGGTGCCAGGAGGCTTTGGAAGTTTTGCAGAAGTCCTGACTTTGAGTCTAGACCCTTTGCCTGGTGTTCAGTCCCTTTGGAATAAAGCCAGATCTGATTAGAGGCACTAAAGGTCTTTAATTACTTGCCTTGTGCACCCTAATGAGCAGAAGAGAAAGGCCTTAGGAGTCAGTTCTTGTTCTTCAGCTTTGTGCTCTGCTTTTGGCTTTGGCTGTACAGCAAGGATCCCATCAAACTTCACTGTGCAATCCTTCCCACAGATGACAACAGCTGCCTGCCTCTTCCTGTATCAGACTGACCACAGATCTATTGGGAAGCTGAACCCTGCTAATACATTAATTCTGGACATCATCTGTCTTAATATTCAGCTTTATTATACAAAATGCCTTGCAAGCATCACCTTCCAGATGATTCACAACAGGTCCCAGCGCTGTGCTAAAACACACGCATCTTGTATGCTGAAGAGTACAGAGAGAAAAAACCCATGGAGACCCGAGTTGTTTTATTTCAAACAAAGCTTTGGGTGGGGTGAAGCGCTTGGAGTGTTTCTAGAAGTACTGATCTGGTTTTATGCTTGCCCTTTTGTATTGGGTACATCCATCAACCTGGAAAGTCTCTCCCTACACAGGGTGATGCTTGGAAACTTCACCCAAAACATTTAAGGCCCTGTGAATGCAGGCTTTACCACAGACTGCTTAGTCAGATCTCTTTAATTTTAGATGATAGAAAGAATAGAGGTAGCCCTAGACATGATTAGCTTGTTCGGTAACATTCATGCCAGCCAAGGCAATAGATGTTTATTTGCTTTGTATATAATACCTATAGCTTCTTTAGACTCAGGAAAAGAAAGGACTGAACTTACTTAAAAGTTGGCTCATTTCTTATTTCAAGCTGATGCCTGGCTGGGATGAACTAGCTCAAACAGGCCTGTGCAATTAAAATAGTTCATAGTAGAACTTCCAGTTTTATGTGTACAAACAGATAGGGAGCAAAAACACAATGATGGACTTAATGTGAAGAAATTACAGTCCTCTACTTCCCTGTGGGAAAATGGCTCTCCAGTCAGCTCTGCCACAGCACTGACTTGGAATTGGGAAGGTTCTAAATGGCAGGCATTGAGCTTGCACCAAAGCAGAGTTCTTTCATGGGGATTTTGTTTGAACTATTGTGTTACTTAGACAAAACCAATCACGTGTATTTTTAGCTCACAAATTCTGTTGGAAAACTCTTTGTGAGAGATGCCACCTTGCCAGCTTAGTGCTGTAGTCACAGTGTGGTCACATTCCTGCAGCATGGGAAACTGGAAACCAAACGGAATGTTGTGTCATAGGAGAGCTGCCTGATTAAACACCTTTATGGCTGAGAAACAATCAGGTTTCTCGGCGGCTCTCTCAACCAATGTCATGAAGAACTTAATAATTCAACTAGTTTAATACACGTACAAGATCCCACTTCATCATTTTGATGTAATTATGTATCCAGATTTACTACAACCCAGAAGACCATGTAGTCCAAGCCTTTTATTTCATGAGCTGATGTAACACATGACGTCAAACCAAGACATACACACACATACATATATATACACACCCCAATATACATTTAAACAATGCAGAAGAGGTAGTACCATTAATTAGGAAATATATAACATGAAGTAAGAATACTAACACAATTCAGCTCTGTCCTCGTTGCGCCTCTTCCAAATATCACAAGAGGCTATAGAATGATTTATTCTGCACCAACCCAAATTTACAAGTGTGCTCTGTTCTCTTACACACTTGTACCTTGAGTTTTCTAAAGGTGATCCTTCAGGTGACTAGCTGAAGGGGACAGTATTTGGTTCATAAGCTAAATGCTATGGCTGTAACAACTTGGATAATGAGCTTTGAATCCATTACTTCTTATAGGATTGTCTGTACACTTCAGGATGTAAGGTTAGGCATGAACACCAAGCATTTAACCTGATCTCTTTTGACGTGATCAGGTGACAGAGTTCCCCTTCTGGAGGGATGTCTGCCCTGCAAGAGGTAGAAAATAACAACAAAACCTGGATGGGTTTTGGTGTTGACCTTAGGAAAATCTCCAGTGTAGCCTTGAAGTTGTAGTAGACAGGAAGTAACAGTATTTAGGGTTTATCAGGGAGGGGGAAATGAACTTGATCTCTACAAAAACATGATCCTGAAAGATGAAGATGGGAAGACTGTAAGACAGTTCCTGAGTTTACATTGAGGAGCATCCTAGTATGCCCCAGCTGCCCAGAGAACAAGCAGGAGAGCCCAAACAAAAAGCCAAAGCTCCAATATTTTCAGCCACTTAGTCAGCAGCTCTATATACCCCAAATAGAAACTCTGGGTAATGGTGTGTCTGACCACAAGAGCAGAGCTCTTTCATAACTTCATCAACCAGACCGACTGTTCCTTAAGGTTTTTAAGCTGTACTTACAGCAGCTGAGAGACTTTGTACTGTGAATACTGTTTTAGGAAAGAAATAAAAATACAGTTAAGAAGGATTATCAGCTGTTGAGACTTTAATGTAAATGCAGTTTCCATCTGCTTTTCCAGCTTCAGCCAAGGCGTGTGTCTGTAGTCAGAAGATGCACACTAGGCAGATTCCGAGAGCCAAAGGAAGGCTACAGTGAAAGAGGAGGATGAGATGTTCCTTTTTTAGGACTGTTTTCCAGATTTCCTGTATTATTTAAGCTCTGCTGGGCTAGCAGGGAAAAAAAAGTCTAAGCAAAGCAGCAGTGCAACGAATGGAGGGAAGATATTGTAGTATCTTGTAGATCATATTTATCTGATATACTCCTCCTCAGAGATGCAGGTTGTATCTTCATCTGTGCTCTCCTCCAAATCTGGCAAGTTGCCCCAGAGCAATACATTGACACCTGGTGGGAAGGAGGAAAGGAGACAAAGGAGGGAAGAGGAAAGAAACACAACTATTTTTGGATTGTGACCTTATTTTTACGTTGCACAACTGTGTTTTCAGAGAAAATAACGACTCCAGTCATTGCAAACCCTGGTAAGTCGTGTTCATCATAAATACACGAGACTATTTCCTAGCTTCCTTCCAAAGTGATCTTGAGGGGTGGTGTTTACAGCATAATTAGGAGAATAAGTCCCTGCCCACAGATGTATTTATATAGCTCATTCATGTAGCTACTGATAATCCCCTCGTGGCTGATTTATTTTGAAACGCATTGATCTAACACACGCGGTGACACTGAAAGGTTTAGACAAGAAGTTCCTCCCGTCTGCAAGGAGGGGGGATGATTTGTCAGAACGCTACATGTTCCTCAGGACTCAAGGCAAATGGTTCCTGACACTTGGCATCCAAACAACACCTACCTGTAGAAACTAACCAGCACGAGCTGTAACTTCATATTGAGCTAATGAGGACTTGGTTATATAGGGGCAAAGTGACAGCATGACTCACCCAATGAGTGTCCCTTGGACAACTGCTTAGTAGCCCAGGAGATACTGCTATAAATAGCACCTGGTGGCTGTGTATATACTCCTTTATGGTGTTGGTTCCGAAAATCCTGACTTCTGCCCACAAAAGGGGAGAGTTAAATTGTTTGATGAAGAGATATTTCCACTTACTTAGAAATTTTCATTTACAAAGGAGCTACAAGGAGTTCGTGAGATTAGCAGCCCTGTAACACTTGCCATATACCTCCATATGTTACACTCCCTCCAGATGCTTTAACTATATTGAGGTGCCTCAATAGGAAGAGGTCTTAGAATTCCAGATTTTAGGGAAGAGAAGTGTTCCTTACCAGAAGAGTCGAGTCTGTTGATGCCAAAGACTGCTTGGCTATGAAACATCCAGAAGTGGCCATTATTGCAAGACAGCAGGCAAGGTTTGCAGGGAGAAATCACATGATAACCAACAACGTTACCACTAGGAAGACAAGGGAAATAATAAGCAGCATGAATCTAAAAAGACAGATGTTGTTGGCTTTTGCAGCTAAAGCTAATGTTTAAATAGGCAAGGTATCGTAATGCTCCTATTTTGGTAAAGTTAAGGGAACATAGTTAAACAAGCATCTTAAATACAGAGGGAACATCTGTTGGGAGTTACAGAATATCTAAGGTTTAGATCTTTGGCATAGAGAGCCACTTAGTAACCTGAATTGTGTAATCAGATTAGCTTACATACCAACAAATGGTGGGGTATTTGCTTTTTTGAAGCCCAGTGATTCCACTGGAATCAGAAGTTAATCACACACCAGGCATCCATCTGTACAGAATCACTGTGCATGGGAGAGTATCAGTAGTAGGAGCAATGAGACTGAGAATATCAAAGCATTATCTCCTCTCCCAGGGTGAAGCCTTGAACAACCATTTTTCTATTTTCTCAGCCACGCTCTGGTGAGATATTTCTCTATTTATACCTAAAAATATAATCCTGTGTTCCTATCACCCCCCCCCCCCCCATCATTTAAATCCAAACCGGGCACAAATCTGGATTATGAAGTGGAAAGGATCTCAATTAACTGTGAGCTCTTTGAGAGTTGTTGTTTTTACCCTTAAATATCAGAAATTAATAAAGAGGATAAAAGAACTCCAAGAACTTTAGTGACAGCATGTTCCATCTGCTAGCAACAGCTAGATCTGCCAAGAGGATGTTCTATTAATTAGAATATGAGTAACTACTTCTTCCTGCGGCCTTATTCACACAACTCTCTCTGTGTTGAAGCAGACATTTAATCAGGCAGGTGGCACACAAGCTTTCCCATCTACTCACAGTACTGACAAGGTTGTCACATCTCCACTTGGGACTTGCACAGAAATAGACTGGCAGCCAAGCCCAGAAGTAGTGGGCTGAGTTTCTATCAAGCAGCATTACATTTGAAGTAACGAATGCAATCTGTTCGTTCAGCCCTCAGCTCTTCGCGCTGCAGTAGGCTGCAGTGGAGAGGTTGGACACATTGTGGTGTGCTTGAGGAGGCATTAGAGTCATCCAAGGGTGTTCTTACCACTTTAAACACGCAATGTTCTTCAGTTTGCATTTGCAGAGATCAGTAAAATAGCAGCTTCCAATGAAATCAACAGTGCTAGATGGGAAGAAAGTCAAAATATTGAAGTTTAGATGTGGCTGTGATTCCTACTATGACGTTTTGACAATTCAGGGCTGAAATCACACAACGATGTTACCATTACTCTTGTATGTTTGGTTTATTTTAAACCCTCCCAAGATCACGCAGCCCCATTTCCCTGTCAGCTACCAGCCATGCTCATATGGAAACTAAAAGACACCCATGTGACGTTATACGAATCAGAATCACCAAGTGATTTGAGTTGGAAGGGACCTTACAGCTCATCCAGTGGCACGGGCAAGGACACCTTCCACTAGAGCAGCTTGCTCCGAGCTCCATCCAGCCTGGCTTTGAACACTGCCAGGGATGGGGCAGCCGCAATATATTCTGGGTCCTCAGAAATGAAACCAGAAAGTGCTGCCTCTCTTACTGCTTGACTAACACATGCTCGTCACCGCAGGCTGTGGGGCACCGGCAGCCCAAAATCTGATTAGAGACATTGCCCTAGTTCCTGGTGAATCTCGGTGAGGCTATGGAATAATAGCTTAAAGGCTAGGACATCCAAAACCAGACCTTTGAGTCCTTATCTCCTGTTTAACCCGTACTTTCTCATTAACATGCTGGTTTGCAACCTGATTTCCTTAGCATTCAAATGCCGTCATGGGAAAGCAGCACGCAAGCGGCGGGAGGAGGGGAGTCACCCTGGAGCCAGTGCGCGATCAGGTTTGTTCTGTTTACGGGGATTTATTTCAGTTTCTAATCTCTGCCCCAGGGAGGAGCTGCCGGGACTCCCTGTGGCCTCACCTGCCCCAGGAACAGCTCAAATGAGGGCTTTGATTCCTGGGTGAGGGACAGCGTTGCTCTTGCTGTCCCGCCGGGGCTGAGGGCGGGCCGGGAGGGATGGGGGCTCTGGGGGCCTTTCCCTAGAGGGACCCTGTGCGTCGCGGCCGCCCCCCGGAGCCCGGCGCTTACCCCGAGGGCGGGATGTCGGTGGAGTAGAGGTCGATGTCGGTGTCCGCCAGCAGCACGGCCTTCATCCCCCGCGTGCTCAGCACCTGCTGGCAGAACCGGCAGCACAGCACCGACACGCACCGGTCATCGAAGGTGCAGCTGCTGACCGACATGGCGGCGGCCACCGCCGGGCCTCGCCGCTCCCGGTCACTGCCGCCCGTCCCGTCCCGGGCCGGCAGCCCTCAACGGCCACGCTCCCCTCTGTCAGTTTGAATTCCCGACCTCCACCTCCCATTGGGAGCGCCGGGCACCGCCCTCCCCATCTGATTAGTGGAGATGTGAAGCGGGGCCCGCCCTCTCCTTGCCCGCTATTGGAGAAGACGGGTGGCACCACCCCTACCACCTGGGTATTGGTGGAGGGGCACGCCCTGCCTTGCTCCCATTGGCCACGCCGCCAGGCTATTTGCATTCCTCGCCCCGCCCCTGCGCAGACGGCGGGAAAAGGGGCGGGACAAGCCGGGAGATAGAGCCATCTGACTGGCTATATCTCCCGTCACTCCTGTCCAACGCTCTCCTCTGATTGGGCAGACCGCTCGAAGGGGCGGGGCGGCGGTGGGCTGCTGAGGGGCACCCGGGTGGCGGGCGCCAGCGGCCGGAGGACGCCCGGCTGCGGGAGGCGGCTCCGCAGCACCCAGGTAATGGCCCCGCTCGGCCGCCGGGTCCCCTCCGCTCCGCTCCCCGGACAGCTCCGCCGGGGGACTGCGGGCAGCCCCCGCCGCCTGCCCCCCTCAGCGCGGCCCTGAGGCGGGGCGCGGAGCCGCGTCCCTCAGCCCCGGCCCCCCCACGGGAGCCCCCTCCCGCTTCCTCTCCCCGCCGCCCTCATTGTTCTTCCCGGGCGGGATGCGGATCCGGCGGGTGCCGTGTTTATTTATTTCTTCCTCCGTCCGCGCATCTCCCGCGGGGGCCGCGGCCCTTCCCTCCCGGCGCAAAGAAAATGGGGGAAAAAGAATGAAATACGTAAAAAAAAGCGGGAGAAAAGTTGCGTCCCGCCAAGGGCCGCTCCCCGCCCGCCTCCCTCCGCGCACGCCGACCCGCACAGCGGAGCGGGGGCTGAGGAAACCCCCGGCAACCCGAACCCCCCCCCAGGAGCCGCGGATGGAGCCGGCGCGGCGGTGGGGGGGGGCTGGGCTCGTCCTGCGCTTCCCGCGCCGGTGTCACTGGATGCAGGGTCCAGCGGGAGATGCTGCGGCTCCGCTGCCGGTCCTGCCCCCGGGGACCTCCTTTCCTCCCCTGCCCTCCCCGTTCCCCGGGGAGCCGCGTTGCGAACGAGCCCCTGCTCCCCCCGCCGGAGGGGCTGGCGGCTGCTGAGGCGTTTCCCCGCCGGTACCTGGCCGGTCTGCGGGTCCGAGCCCTGCTCAGAGGACGGGTTGCGATGTCAGGGCAGCTTTCCTTTCAGCGGCACATTTGGGCTGTGCAGCTTGTGGCTGCTGCCTGCAAGCCGTGATTTTATGTATCTATGTAATATATATATGGCTTTATTTGTGTTTGCAGGCATACCAAAGAAAACGGCTTCTCGTCCTCGGTTTGGGATCTGATTTACATCATCTCTGAGCCCATTTGAAAAAAAAAAAAGGAAAAAGCAAAACCAACCCCGCAGAGAACATGTTGTGCGGAAGGACTTCCACTCCCTGGCTGTGCTGTTAACGCTAGCAATCAGGAAGAGCCTTTGGGGGCTGCAGGATCTCGCTAGTCTGATGCTGCTGCTAAAGGTTTTGGTGCAGGGAGACAAAACTGCCGCCTCTTCCATGCACTGAGCTCTTCACATCTGCATTTTGCTGCTGCTGTGCTCGTCTCACAGCCTCTCTCCATGGACTGATTTATTTTCTTTGCCCTTTTTGTTGGGGGGGGGGAAAGGCGAGCAGAAAATCCCGGCACCGCATTGAGAGGAGGGCGACTGCATTTCTGTCTCGTGCTCTGGTGGATCGGGTTTGAGGTTCGTCTTTTTTTGGGAACAGAAAACATGACGTCGCCAGCAAAATTTAAAAAGGATAAGGAGATCATAGCCGAATATGACACTCAAGTTAAAGGTAGGAATGGTTTTGTATTCATCTCTTCCGCTGTTGCAGTCCTGACTGCAATTGTAGGAGTTTGCAGGAGATGTTTGGGTGGGGAAGGGAGAAATCATTTGCAGATTGCCTGGAATTTGCAGGGCTTTTTCCTAACACAATGCTGGATCGGGTTTGCAATGCTTTTGCTCGTCCCCATGGGGTAGGTTCCTACTATGGAATTGCTGTTTAAAGGTATCACGGGAAGGGCTTTATTTTACACCATACAACAGATTTCTTTTTGAGTTCTGAGAGCCATATTTTTCTGTCTGCTGTTCTGAAATACGGCTTTGCGTTTGAAATATGAGAGCTGCTTAATTGCTTTTTAATCCTCCTCCTATCATGGGAATCTGTTAAGAAATCTGTGTAGTGTCAGAGGAGCATATTTCCTCTGGTAGCCACAGGGACTGTGCTGAGGGTCCCTGTGAAGCTGCTTGTGCTAGAAAGTTCCATTATTGAGGGTTTTGCTCTTGGTGACTCCCTAATACCACTGCCTGGTTTTTCTTGCTGTGCTTTTGAGTGTGACACCTTAAGGTTGCGGTGTGTGTGCGTGTGTATTCACACGTATGTAATGCATATGTATACACATGAATGCAACTAATACATTAGTGTTATTCCCATCATCATAAGGCAGGCAATAAAGAGTCAGAGGTGTATTTGCAATGGTTGTGGAAGTCTTCTGCAGGATCTCCTTGGCTGGGTTTCGGGCTGGGTAGAAAAAAGGATGGTGAAATGTTTGCTTAGCTGCTGCTTTTTGCAAAGTTCTCGAGATAAAGTGGATTTGAACAAATAATTCTGGCTTGGGCACGGCTTGAGCTGTGGCTGGTGGGAAGTTCTGAGATGTAATGATTTATCTAATTGCTTCAAACTTGCTCCGTATGCTTGTAGCATGTAGGAAAGATGGCCTTTGGGCAGGGCTGGTGGACTGAAATCAGTGTGAGTTAGAGAAATGCCATTTCCATGGGAGCAGGAAACCTTGGTTAAACCTGGCAATTAAAATATTGTGTTGCAGGGAGGTATTTAGTTATTTCTCACTGCTTGGAAATCATTCAACCATGATGTCCTACACGGTGCGTGTCCTGTGCTGACCCTAGTGCTCCGCACCTACAAGCGGTTGTGCTGCTGCTGTTCACGAGGTTTACCTGAGCAAATCTGCCACGGGGTAGGAGTTTATTTTGATGATTTATCTCAATTTCGGGGTTCTTAAAGCTGGAAATGGAGAAGAACGTGTTTCTTTTTCACTAGTTTGGTTTCTATTCCTGTTTTCTGGCTGTCCTTGGAAATGGGGATTGAAGTCAGTGTAAAATTAGAGGCTTCTATGTCCTTTCGTTATTTACCCCGTCAGAAGGTGTGTGGTAGATATGAACTTGTAGTCCCAATATTTGTGCATTGGATGCAATAATGAGACACAAGGATTTAGACTTAGCAAAGTGCATCTTCTCATCTCTCTTCTCTTAGGAAAGAAATCTTTCCCTTTTCAAAGAAGAGACCAACAGTGAAGAGCCTTCACTGCCCATCACTGCCAAAACGATGCAGTCACCTGTCAATCTGTCTGTAAATGTGGTCCCAAAAGCAAAGCATTGTAGTGGCATTTAGACTTCTTTGCTTTTTTGCCTTCTGAGCTGTTCCTATTGTAGATATGTGGGGTTAAGAAGAGTGGGGCTGTGTAACTGGCTTACGTGGAGCTGGGAGAAGGGGGTCTCCTTCCTGAATTAGCGTGAAGGCATCTAAGGGTTTGTCTGGGATATTCCCCCCTTGTGCAGTTCAGCTTTCCCTGCTCAGGACAGTCCAGAAGTGGCTGATGGGAGGTGCTCATCCATCTGTGCTTCCCTGGAGAGGGAGGTAGAGATGGGCCTTAACAGCTCAAGAATCCAGCATCGGAACGATCCTCTCCCCATCGCCTCGTGTGCTTTAAAGCTCAGGGGGAGCTTCCCTTCCCCATGTGGCTTCAACCCTTCACCAGCTGCTCTGGCAATAGGGATTGTCATGTCTCTGCTTTTAGATATGGGGTTTGGGGGGAGATTTTGCAGTTAAGCACTCATCTTAAAATGTCGTGAAACTTGCTTTGCATCTCATAGGTACCATGCTGTGAGCTGGGTAGTGACCTGGCTCTCATGAGCAATGGGTCCTCCTGCCTCTCTAATTCCAGAGATGTGCTGCTTGCCCTGCCACAGTGAAAAGATGAAATGGGACTAAAGGCACACTCCAATCCAAAACCATAATGCTGTCTTTTCACTGAACACACCGGGGTCCTTAACGTAAAAGTGTTGGTGTCCTGGTGGAATTCTGGCTTGATCTGTGGGAAATGGTGTTCACTCTGACCGCGCGTTGTTTGCCGTCTTTTCTCTTGTGTTGTGAAATGCCATGTAGGAGTGAGATGAGCTGGGTGTTGGTGTGCTTTGTAAATTGTAAGGTATCATCTGTTTCTCAGATGAGAAAACTCAGGTAGTTTTTACACTGGCGTTTAGGAGCTTACTGTGTTTTCTGGCTGTGCATTAGAAACTGTGTTTAGAGGCTTCATTTAAAACCATTAATCCACCAACACGTACTTAAGCCCTGTAAATTATTACTAATGGAATGATTGAGCTTTGCTTAGAAGTTTAATAGCCTTAAGTTGTTAATCAAAACCTATTTAAGAGATAGCTTGGTTATGGCTGTTAGATTGTTGGTGTGCAGAGGGTTTGATCTTCTGTTGATGAACTTGATGATTTTTGTTGTAGGAGGTGTGGAGGGGTGACAGGGTGCTGGTGAGTGAAACTCTGTTATCTCATGGCCATGAGCTGTAGGTATTTGTTGTCTTCTTCCAACAGCCAGTTCTGTGCCTCTGCTGGGTTGGAGTTAGCTCTTCCCATGGTTCACATGTGCAGCTAATGGCAGAGGGGATCAAGAGCAGGATGAAATGAATTTCTGAAGAGGAAGACTGTTTGCCTCTTACACATCAAACTTACTGTGCAGTGGTCAGGGGATGTAGAGGGAGTGATGTGTTTCTTCCTAATTCCTTGTGCAGGGAGGTTGAGGACAAGCTGGTCTGTGTGTCCCTCCTTGGAGGCTGCTGGAATCAGGCTGGATAGAGCCTGAGTTACTTGGTCTGATCTTGGAGCTGACCACTGGAGGTTGGCCTGGATGACCTCCTCTGCTCCCTCCCAACCTGAATTGTCCATGACCCCATGGATTCCAGTATCTGGAGGTTCAACGGAAGCTTTTTCTTCTGCAGAAGTGAGTTAACCCACAGACAGGGTGGGTTCCCTCAGGAACTGCTCTGACCTCGAGTCTTTTGCCTTTAGATGATGCAGGCAAGGTCCATGTTGTCTCTGGTTGCTTGGTTGTGTTGTCTGCACTTGAACGCTTCGTGCTGTTGGCAAGGAGAAGAGAGGCTGCCGGTATTAGTGGGCTCCTCTTGCAAGACGTGAGAGTGCTCCTCGCTTTGAGGAAGCTCTGCGATGGCCGCATGTCATGCGGGAGGAATCCTGACAAGATGACATGGGGGCAGCAGGGGAGGGAAGTGCTGCTTTGATACGTTTCTGTACCATGTGCTCGCAAAGATTATGAGTTCTGTGAAGCTGGAAAGTGAGATCCTGTGGTCTCCATATGGAGCCTTTGATATCTCCAGCTCATCCCCTTGTCTGGATTGTCTCTCCCAATTCCTTTGTGCAAGTTGCGGTAAAGCAGAGATAATGAATTGATGCTGTGCAATGTGTTCCATGTGAGATGTGGGTGCTGCCTCTATCTGTCCCAACCAAGGCCTGTCACACTGATTTTTGGCTTAATGTGTTAAATTGGAGTGTACATTTGCTGAGGAAAGAAAAGCCAGTGATTTATCTCGTAATTCTTCTCTTCTTTCTCCTCATGTCCCGGGAGAGCCTTATATTTAATTAGTTTGTATAAAGCTTTAGTAAATAGCTTCATGGTTTGGGCTGCAGAGATGGAATCCTGAATTCTTTCACACACTGAGTGTTCATAAACCACTTCTGTCCTTGAGTTGTCTCTAGCAAAGGTTAAAATACATCTCTTGCAGATCTTGCAGCACAGCCCGAAAAGCACCAGGAACATGGAGAAGAGATGAGGTGATTTATAGCAGGAGTGAGCACAGCACAGAGGTGCCTGCGTGGTATTTACCCAAGTGTGTCTTCAACTAAGAACAGCTTTGGGCAAAGCCTCCCATCAGATTCCGGCTACTGGAATGTCTGAAACTTCCTTTTTAATCTCCCCCAAATCAGTGATAAATTTCAGATAAGTCCCTTTTTTTGGTCTCTGGGTTGAACAACTGATGGTGTGTTCGATGGGATCGGGATCTTTTGCCTTTAATGCTGCATAAAGCAGCAGCTGTAATGTGGGGGCTAGAAAGGAAATGTGATGCTTTTGGTGGTGATTTGAAACAAAACTGGCATTTCTCTCAACTGTTGGAAGTTTCCCTGTTAACACTGCACATGCAGCACTCGTCTGGAGAAGGTATTGGTAGGACTGTCCTTAGATCACTGATTTGAAATCACTGTAATGTGTTTTGTTGCTAAACCCCGGGGATCTTCAGTGCTGTTGACCTTAGGTATATATGGGATGATTCCTCTTTCGTGTTTGTCTTCTGTTCAGGTCCCTGAGCTGGTCACTGCACGCTGTGGCACTGGCTGCACAGCCCAGCACCACGTGTGAGGGCTTTCCAGAGTCACAGCTCCTGGCCACTTCCTCGGCAACCCCTGTTTAACACACTGTGTAAATGGCCTTTTCAGCCACGCACCCTGGGGCGCTTGAGTTGGAATAGTTCTGAGGTTCGAGATGCTGAGTTTGGAAGTATTGGATTACCATTGACATTTGAAATGTAAAACTACCTTTTAAGGGGTTTTTGCAGTTAATCATTACTCTGTGCGTGTAAGTGATTCCATTTGTTTGCAACAATGACTTCCTCCAAACTCTGGCTATGGAGTTGCTGGAGAATCATCTGGTTTGCTGCAGTTCTTGATAGTGCTAATCCCTGGAGCTTTGGAGCT